CCCCAAAACCCCAAAACCCCAAAACCCCAGGCTAGTACAAATATCTTGAAACAGAATTTTAAACTAGTAAAGCATGCCCAATACAAGTGATCCTGAAGTAATTGTGCTGATATCTTCCGATCAGGTCTTGCTCTGCAGCTTTTGTGATGCCAACATTGTGCACATACACATCTTTCAATTTGGTTTCTGGCCTTTCCGCTTGTGCTAATGCAGACACCAAGTAGTGCAAGTTCAGTTGTCTGGGAGTAGGGTCTCAACCATAGTTGGATGCAGCAAAGCATACTGATAGTGTCCTCAATGATGATTTTTGTAATGCCGTTCTGAGATCAAGTTTGGCATCCAGCTCTAATCTGCATTTTCTCATATCAAGAGCTTTGAGTTTGTCACAGAAACATAAGATCCTTTTGAAATTCTGCTGAGAGATGGCAAATCCTTGTAGAGCAATTGTGTTGACAACTCTCCTAGAAATATGACGCATTTCTGCCATAAAATGTCTGATGCTCATTTTCTTAGAATAGTCTTCGAGTCCTTGAGAGTTTATGAGTTCAAATTTTGCAGCTTGTTTAGGAAAAGATTTATGTAAGAACTGTCTGACATTGGCTCTGCTTTTTCTATCAAACTCGATAAGTAAGTCATCTCATTCTCGGATTGTCAGTTTTATAACTCCTTGAGAAGCCGAAGTTTTTTGTAGTTTTCAGTGCTCAAGTATAGAAAGGATTTGGAAGTAAAACCGAGGGATCCTCCACCAATATTTTTGTACCTCTGTCTTACTAAATAAAAGGTTGATATTTGTATTGGTAAATTAATCTAAGCAACTTCTAAGCATGTGCATTCCTGCCTCTCGAGAAGAATTGTTTTGTAAATTATACAATCTTAAATATATTCATCAAACTTTGGATTAAAAAAGGGATCGAAGCTAAGTTATTTTTGCCTTTTACTTTAAGTTTGTAATGAACCGAATATCTTTAAAAAATATTAAAATTTTAAAATTAAAATATTTCAGGAAGAAATAAATCTTCTTATAGATTTCAGAACAACAAAGCTTTGTATTATTTACTTATTTTTTCAGCTAATCATAAGATATTAAGTTGGCTTTCATATCTTCAAATGAAAATTTTCCTTTAAACTACTTCACAAGATGCCAAAAGATTCTGCAAAAATAAGAATCTAAACTCTTAAAAGAGAGCAAGATTAAGATGCATACCTATAACTGCAAATCTTTGGCTCCAGACAAAAGATTTCTTTCCTCCCACTTTAAGTAAGGCATCTTCATTTTCTCTATCAATTCTTGCTGATGTGTTAGCCTATTCATCAAATCATTTGGCTGATGTATAGCACCTGAATTTGAACTTGTGCATTCTAAATCCCATCTAAATACTCTCCACTCATTGCAAAACCTATTAAACCCAGGATCTCAACTAAGCCCAGTCAACAGCTCTTCTCTGATCTCATAATTCTTCATCACTGCAATAACTTTCTGAGCTGGATCTTGGTCGTAATTTTCATGTGGCTTAATAACTTCCATTTTAAATATTTATTATAATTTCAAATATTTTTAAGTATATTGGGGTTTTGGGGTTTTGGGGTTTTGGGGG